GAATTACCTGGTTTTCTTTTTAGAAAACGTGCCTCATGACAAGACAACCTACCTAGCAGCTACAAATTTAGAAGACCAAGTGTATCGGGTGTACCTAGGTATTAATTGGGGGGTGCAGAATAGTTTGTGACACCGTGACCCAGGTAACGTCTATACTCTAGGGAAAATATCGGAAGGAAATTCAAATGAACTCAGTAGCCATAGACCAGAATAAAGCGATATCAGTAGGTTTCAAGCTAGCAAAGACTGAGACGCTCAAACTTGAATCATTAAAAGCAACGCTGCGAAGTGACCGGAATCATATCAAGGTATCTCATAACTTCAAAAGCCAACGTAATTAACAGCCACCACCTGTTTTTGGTTAGCATATATACCCAGTTTAGTATGAAGTGATGGAACTTACCTCCTCCTCCTCCACATCCTCCACCTCCTCCGCCACCACCACCACAGCCCCCTCCGCCTCCGCCTCCACCGCATCCTCCCCCTCCGCTTCCACATCCTCCACCACCACCTCCGCAGCCAGAACCTGTTCCTCCAGCACAGCCAGCAGCGCCAAAGCCACCACAAGATCCAGCAGCAACGCCTCCACCACAGGTGCCCGAGCAACAATTTCCAACGCCACCCGCACTGACATTCATGCAGCCCGGGTTGCACGGGTATGAGCTTGCGCTGATGCCAGGGTCACACATATATGGACCGTAATAAGGTACATACATGGGGTAACCCCAGACAAGTGGTGTATAGTAATAAGGCTCAACGCCACCATCATTAGATCTCTTGCCATCAGAGCGAGAACGGCCACGCTTTTCAGCCCGACGAACAGACTTCTCATAGTTCTGATGCAGGCGGATTCGCTGAAGAGTCCCGACGCGATAATCCTCGGCCGCCAACGTGGTCGGTCGGACAGCATTGTGCGCCGAAATATGAGGGTTCTTGTCTGGGTCAGAGGAGATATCATTGCGATCATGTAGCGTGTCCGCGGCGTCACGGGCACGAGATGCCGAGCCTAGGTTGAAAAGGCGATCGTACAGATCTGGTGCGCGGGTAGCTTCGCAGTACCAGCAGGTACATTCGCTGTAGATTCCACCGTTTGTGGCTCTGCGGTACATCTTGGTCGTCCATTCGAAGGCCTCGGAAAGTTTGTTTTCGTCGACTTTGTCGTCATGGTCAATGAATCGGCGTTGACCGCCGGCCATGATACGGATACTATACTGGAAGTACCGACGGGGCTGTAGCTGATGGGTGTGCCAGGCCAGATCGACATCCAAAGTGGGGACAGCCATGTTCCTTGGATTCGAGAGCATGATATCAAAAAAGACTTCGTACTTCTTGATGAGACGCTCGGCCGTATCCATGACAGTGGGAGAATGCAGCCAGTCGATGTTATCCATCTTCTGGACAAAAGTACCCTGACGAATCACTGCACCAACGAGGTCAAGGCCGAAGGGGCTGAAGTTCTCCCAGTAATGAGACATCATGCGACGGAAATGGATTTTCTCTCCCGGTTTACTCCCACGGCCAGCGCTGTGTGCCTTTTTTAGAATGGCGGCGTCGCGGATCTTGAGTTCCAAGTGAGAGCGAAGGTCATCAATGTTCTTGCACCAATCCACTCTAGCATCGGTAAAGGCGAGCAGATCTTTAGAGGCCGCCTCCATCAAACGGTTGGGAAACATCATAGATCGATGAATCAGGTACGTCTTCATCTGAGTTGGGCCCGCGGGGATACCGTGCAAGTTATAAATCGTTCCTGGCATTGGTCGATTGAAGGTGACCAGCTCCGTAAGGTCTTTGCGAAACTTGGCAACTCGAAGTCGGTCATGATCAAGAATATGTGAACAGGAGCCGCACTTGATCTTGAAAGATGCGTCTGCATAGCCCGTGCATTCACTGAATGGCTCTTTGAGCTCGGGTCTCATATTCCCTTCGGTCCACAGCACAGTGATCGGCTTTTTACAGGAGGGACATTCAATTTCCAATCCGGGAGGATCCTCCAAGTTATCCCATTCCATATGAAGCTGTGTCTTGAACATTTGGATGCTCTTTTTGCTGACAGTGTACTCCAATGTGCGGTCGTTGATGGAACGATTTATTGCTTCAAAGGGGAATCCTGTTCTCCAGGTGCTCATCTTTCCATAACGAATACAGTCCTCGAGGAAATCCCTGGGATTGAGCATATGAGAATGCCATACCATCAGAATATCTAGGTTTCAATCAGTATCGCCTGTGTTATACTATGACGGATATAGTTTTCGACTCACCGAGTGGGGGCAGATTTTCTTCGCTCCACAATACCAGGGTTTCGCTATCGAGAATTTTTTCATATTCGGGGCTTTCTAGATCGGAAATCGTCACATGTGGTCGAGACATGGGGACGCATGTGAACCACCACTTCCGGTATCGCTCGACGGCGCGAGCTGTGTATATGGCCCAGCGTTTCTCGCGAATACGAGCCCGGGATTCATTGAGTGCTTGGGGCATGTCCTGATGGATGTCGGCTTGCTTGTCGAAAATACCGAAGAGACCATCGTTATTTGAGACCATGTCACGCAGATCGGCCAGAACAGCCAGAAATTTGAGATGGGCAACACATTGGTCGCGCGTCACCGTACTGGTGAGAGAGGGTAGGTTCTTTGTGTCGCTGAGGTTCAGCTTGGGGAAGTTGAGGAGTAGTTCCTCCTCTTGAGTATAGGAGGGCGGCCTCTCCTTGGCGTCAGCGTTGCCGGCGGCGCCTTTGGTGGGCGTTTCCTGGGACTTGATGTCCGTGGACATGCCCATGGTTGCGGTTGGTAGAATCAGTGATGATTGATCTTGAAAGGGATCACAGACAAGGTGAACGGCGGATGGGAGGGGGGGGGGATATCAGCTTTGAGTGAGGGCGTGTAGAGTGATGGGGGTGAGGGTTTGTGTTGAAGAAGCCAGATGATCCTGAGGAGCATGGGGGATTTATATCAATTTCGGATCAGAGCGGCTCCCATGGATGGAGAATCCTATCATATCAGGTGTTGCCAGAGTCCCATCCAATCAATGTTTATTGTACCCTATGGCAATCGGGGCCGAGTTGGCGTGGCCGGGCGCTGGACAGGACCAATGAAGAAGGAAACAGTTGCATCTAAGGGGCCTGAAAGTGAGCCGAGGAAAACGCCTAGCTAAGCCTTGCTGATGATGAGATTCAAGCTTCCACCGTTCCAGCAAGCCAATAAAACTCCCGGGTGAAGTACATGTGACTCCGCAGCAGAAGGTTCCATGCGATTTCCTTGACGGGAAGGCGCGGGGCGGGGAGGAGCGGGGAAGGGGCGAGGACAGGCCAATCAAACACGCCTGCACTGCCTCGCAGCTTCCCAAGGGTTCTCCCGCCCCCATCCAGAGTGACCTCATCTTGAGCCTAGCAGTGCATATACATACACTTTAGCCTCCTTTGCTAATTAAAGAACACGTTGATCTCCTACTGTAGCAAACAAATAGTGCTACGATCTATTAGTTAGTTAGTTAGTATTACTACTAAGTACTAGTATCTACGATATATTGCTGGGGGATCTTAAATTCCAATCCTAGTATTCTCCAATTCCATAGTTACTAGTACTAGTAGCTTGACTACTATTAGTACATTCATAATTCATTCAAGTTGTTTATACGAGAACCTTGGAAGGGGTCACGGTGCTAAGCCTTCTCCGAGCTCAGTCCAATGTAACCCGCCCGACTTGAATAGAGGTTATGCCCGGGCCGAGGTATCTGCTCATCTACAAGACGGGGCGCGACAATTTCCATAGATTGAAGATCATAATGATATTTTGGTTGTTGCCCCGTTACAAAGCAGTAGACACGAGCCCGTTTTTCGAAACAGTCCGAGCCCTTGGGGTACAGACAGACATTGGAGATAGAGAAACTTACGTCGTGCCTTTATTGCTATTACCAGTAACTTGTCTATGTGTTATCTAGTATTACTTAATTATCTTCACCTTTAGATTTCAGTAATCGACCTTGATTACACAAGAGCGCCATTCGTACATGCCAGCGATATACAGAGAATGGTCGTGGTCCCGGGGCTACCGTTAAAAAAAGTCTTTTGAAGGCTGGATGATACCGCATCAAATCAAGTTCTAGGAAATCTTCCTAAGCTTTAAGTAGGCTACGATAAATTTAATAACTGGCTACAGGTTTATTTATTCTTCTGGGTACCTAGGTAGGTTGTACTAGTATCCATGTTTATTCTTTTTATTGTTCCAAAACTATGTCTATCTCTCCAATTTACACAGCCCTGCAGGGATACGATAACAGAAAACAGTCGTTCACCGCACGACTCCACCTTCCTGAGCACGTCATCTTCTAGATGAAATTCCTTTAAGCGAGAACCGGTCTCGATTTCTCCGGGCGAATCGATCAGCCGCTAGTCGAAATGAGCTACCCACCTTCCACGGTGGATCACCGGGTGGTCGTTGCGAAAGGGCCATGCTGCACGTGAGCTATGACTTTCAAGACGAGCTAGTTGCATGAATGGAAGCCATTGGGATAAAAATCAGTATGAAGATTATTTGCCAAGAAATATTAGTTCTTCATTCAGAAACTTAAAACACGAGATAATACAATATCTTTCTCAAAAATTCAATCCCCAAGGATAAAATCTGTTCTGAAATCTGGTGAAGGGAATCCGATTTACCGCCTTGCCGGAGTCACCTGATACCTCCCCGCGCTGAGTCACCCACCAGAGCGCGGCGCTCAAAGTTCCAGTTCCAAGTCTGCAATCGCCGTGCGGAGAGCTTGCGGTTCAATTTGTCTTGGAAACAAATCGACTGTCGTGCCTGTACCTTCAAGCGACTTGCCTGCATCATCTGTGTCTCACCGGACAAGTCACCCTTGTCCCGCTCGAAAAACTCGATTCGGCCTGCATCAACGTCATCAGCCTGGCGTCTTTTGGCCGATCAAACGGAATCGGAGGGTCCCAGAACCCTACCTTCGATCCAACAGTCGGGATTGATAATGCTACAGCTGTCATAAATCCCGTAATGGCGGGCGTTAATCATGCGCCAGTCTCCATGGCTGCTTCCGACATGCAGAATCGCAAACGCAATGTGACCATGGCGGGGATCGACAGCTCACCGGGGAGTATTGACGAGGCGGAGGATATCGACGGTCGTGATGACAAGAGGCGCCAACCCGTGAAGCGTGCCTGTAATGAATGTCGACAACAAAAGGTATGTGCAGCCCAGTTCGCGCGAAATCATGCGACGCTGGCCGACATCTGTCGGAGCGGTGATGACATGTTTCGCTCTTTTCCAAACAAGAACAATCCCTTAAACTGACTTCTGCATTTTCATAGCTCCGTTGCGATGTTGTCCAAGATCCGTGGGTTGATTGTTCTCGATGCCGTCGGCTGAAACTGGACTGCAAAATCGAGTCGAATTTCAAGCGGGTTGGGAAACGTAGCCGCAATGCCGAGATGGAACGCGAGATTATCGAATTGAGAAAACAAATCTTGACCAACCCTTCTTCGACACCACTTCCCCAGCAACCTATACCGGCAGGCCAATTGACGCCCAAGCAGGAGTCCAGCCAAGTCAGCCCCGCTGGCGTCTATCAAACCCCCTCGCCGTATCGTCGGACCAATACATGGGTTCCCAGGAAGCCGTAGCATCGCTACTTGACCTGCGATCAGGATTTGATGGATCGAACTATATGCGGAATGGAAGCCAACAATTCAAGCGACTCGAAGATGTTATGATCGCTCCAGAGAAAGTAACGGAGCTGTTCAACATGTAAGACACCGGCGATCACATTGATATCCACTACCGGATCTAACTCTTGAAAAAATAGGTTCTTCACCTACAGCCATCCTTTTTTACCGTTCTTAGACCGACAGCAATCCCCGGACGATTACTATGCTGCTTCACCTTTGCTGTTTTGGACGATTATTAGTGTTGGTGCTAGGCGATATCAGGGTGACACTGGCTTGTTGAACTCTCTTGCAGGTCCTGTCACTCGCCTGGTATGGAGCACTCTAGCAGACATTCCTCAAAGCTATCATGTTGTTAAGGCGCTCTGTTTGCTATGCTCGTGGCCATTTCCCACGAGCAGTACGTCCACTGATCCGACATTTATGCTTTGCGGAATGATGATCCAGGTTGCCATGCAGCTTGGACTTCATCGGCCATCCCACAGCCAAGACTTCAGCAAATTCCGTGTGGAACTTATTGAAGATGAGCTTAGAGATAAAGTACGCACGTGGGCCATTTGTAACATAGTTGCACAAAGGTATGCTACACTACTCACTTCCCCCTTGAAACATCTTCTCATTTCCTTTTCAGAGTTTCTACTGGATACGGTCAACCACCGTCAACAATCTACGACTGGACATTATCCTCGAATGATTCCTCGGACCCCAACTTCAAACTACCCGGGGAAATCCGATCTAGGTTGGAGATCGAGGAATTCTGCGATAAGATCACCAGAGCACTATATACAAACCGACGTGATCCCGTCGGTCTGACTAGCGATCGGGAGAGAAGCACCTTGCTTTCGTTCCTTTCGCGGGATTTTGACGAACTTGAAGAACACTTCAAAGGACAAAACGATTGTAAGACGAGACTCGTCTCACCTCCGGCTATGCAAAACTAATTTACAAACTAGGTATCACCGATCTATTTCTTCGTGCTTCAAATCTTCATCTCCATCTGTCAGCGTTCTTGGATGACCCTTCCGCGAAAGATTACCGGGAGCGTCTCCTTTCGCTTTACGTTGCAACCACATCATTCCTTGAGGTGGCAATGAAGCTTGAGACTGAAGTTGGACCAGTTCTATCCTATACCCCATACTACGTTTACCAAATGATGGTCGCTGCCGGCTGCACTCTTCTCAAATTGAGCAAGAGCTTCTTTGCCGCCCACATTGACATGGAATACACGAAAAGTCTATTTAACCGCACCATTTGGGCTGTTCGCGGTGTATCTGTATCAAGCAATGACCTGCCAGAACGTCTTGCCGAGGTTCTGGCCCAGATGTGGAGATTGAGTGGTGCCCCCCAGATAACAAGCGGATCCGACGTGGATGATTCTCTGAGACTGAAGGTTCGCTGCCGAATGAGCATGTCTCTACTCTTCGACTCTGTCTGGCGATGGCGAGAGGATGCCAGAACCAAGGGTCGAAACATTGAAGGTCAGTACTTGGTCCCCATATCATGTCTAGAAATCATACTAATTTCGCGAAGCCTATCTCAAAAACCCGACCAACCCCGATTCAGCAGCCGATTCATCCGCAACGTCATCCGTCGGCCCTCTACACACATCTACATCCACGCCTGGTATATCCGGTGGCGATCCAAGCCTTGCACCAGCACCAATAATCCCAGCCAACCTGGGGGTTCAGGCGCCAGGTACTGGCGTTGGCGGACTTCCTAGCGGATTCATGGAACCGAACTACGAGGTTTTCGACCCGCTTAACTGGCTGCTCGACGGCCTGGTCGACTTGCCTTACTCATACTCCGCTATGGGCGGAATGGAGCCACAGGGCATTGCATAAAGCAATTGCTTGGCTCTTCTGATTCTCTGGCGTTGTTATTATTTTGCGGGAGTAATTTGTGCACGTCTCTGTTTGTACTACTATACCACACGGACCCAATCGTTGATACCTCACTGGGAGTTTTCTTTTAGTTATTTTTTCTTCTTTTCCCCACCTTACTTCAGGTCATTATGGTCTGACGTTTCCTTGTCTATGACTTTTTAACGAGTTTCCTACTCGGCATTGTGGCGATGGAGCCGTGTCACAGTATATGAAGCCCTATGTCAATTTACTTCTTTTTTCGGCCCGATTCGACAGTAGCCGCATGCAATATTGAAACAAAAGCCCTGTACAGCTGCAATTGAAAGTCACATTATCAGGTCCGCCACGTTAGATTGGCCATTGCACATGTATAGCCTTGAAGTTACACGCTTATTTTTCTATTCACAGAAGTGGGCTCCCTTGTCGATTTACATAGTCTGAAGTGTGGGGACCATGCCACCATCGACTCAATGACACTCTGGTTGCCTAGTCATCTTGTAATGGATTCCCCTGCGCCAGATTTTCTGCTCAGCCATTATAATGCTCTCCCCTCCCCTCCCCTTTCACTCTTGCTAGGCCCCTCTTCTTCTGACTTCAGGTACGAGGCTCACAATGGCTCTATTACATTTTATATGGTCTGGATGGCTTGAACCTCCAGTTGGAACCGTGGCTATTTTCATTGGTGCCTGTGTTATCTTTGTCTGTGTGATTATACTAGTATTTTCCTTAATTTTTACGTCCAGTCAACTGGCCAACGTGAGTATTCTCGTTTCATATCCAGGTCCAATAAAACCGTACCCTATGAAATCAGCGAGAAATCTCCCAAACTGATCTCAAGAACGTGCTTTGGCAGAGTAACATTCCTTTTGTGATAGCTACATGCCCTTGTGCGATTATCTACCAACACTACCGGTTCCTTGTGGAGGGGCCGGGACTCATCAAAAGAGGATACGACCGGTTCTTTGACGGACTCTTCGAAATCCCGCGTACCTTCCGATTTGGCCAGGTCATCGTTTGCAATCCAGAGTTAATTGAGGAACTGAAAAACACCGGAAGCGCTGTCGCATCTCCGGAGCCATGGATTGACCAGGTGAGGGCTTCGCGCTCCCTTCCTACTTGAGCTTGCATTGGACTCTGGGTCTCGGCACTAAATTTCGAAAAAGCTCCTTCAGATTTCTCACGTCATGCCTGGGTATTTCCCTCCTGGTGGAGGGTGGCCTGCGGTCGCGAAGACTACTCCTGGTGTCATTCGTGGAACTGTGCACAAGCATCTGGATCGGTATATACCGGCAATGAGCGAGGCGATACTAACCCAGCTGCGTGCTCTACAATTTGACGAGAGCGGTGGTAGGTTTAATTTTGCCATTGATCTCAAATTTATATATGCTTAATGCTCTCATTCCAGAATGTACGATCAGTTGCTTCGAATTCGCATACTCGGTCGTCGCCCGCAGTGGTAGCTATGCCATGGTAGGCGAACGTCTCGCAAACAATGAGGAATACCTCAGAGCTGTCAAGGAACATATCCTGGGAATGATTATGACTACCCGAGTGCAATTTCTTGTCCCAGATTGGTTGAAAAAGTACTAACCCAATTCGCTGTCTATGATCCAAGATTAGAACCTAATGACTTTCAATCTTCAGATATATAGGCGGCTTTATCAGCCGCCTAGCTACAATAGGTACACGCTGGGATATGCACGCATCACGTAAAATTTTGCTCAAGCATTTCGATGCTCGAGCGGCTGAGTACCGCGATGAGATGGCATGCCCGGGGAATATAAATGATAAAGACGATTTCAAGTCGACAGATAAGCCAGTCAGTAATTCCTTCAAGATGATTCATCTAATAGCTTCCAAGTTTTACACAAAAAAATGAGCTTTCTTGACCGTGGCTCATAGGTTGAGATCTTTCGGTGGCTGTTCGAAAGCTCGGTACTTCGTCATCGATGGAGCTACCCTGAGGTCCTTGGGGAGATGCTCTTGCTCCAGTTTGCCTTCATATATACGACTGGCTACGTGGGTCTTAATCCAACACACAATCTTGTAATGAAACCCCGAGGCGCTGATCATCAACAGGCTCTCTACGGTGCTTTGGCCGAGCTAGCCCGGCAACCAGAGTACATTCAACCACTGCGAGAGGAGGTTGAAGCTGTCCTTGCCGAATATGGAGCCACCGTCCCGGCCTGTGATCGAATGATACTTCTTGATAGCTTTCTGAAGGAATGCCAACGTCTGCACCCACCTGCAGCCAGTATGTCCACCTGACCAGCGCCCTGGGACGACCAGTTCAAAAGCTGATAAAAGATCAATTGCTGCAGTATCTGCTCACCGGGTCTGTGTCAAAGCACTTGAATTCTCCAATGGTCGGCCACCTTCAACTCTCAACTAATCCCGGGCCTCCTTATATACTCTCGTTCTTTTTGCACTATTTGATTCTGTGGCTGATACATTTGGACCCTACATACATACAGGGATAACTCTCAAACCTGGAACCCATGTCGGCGTACCGAGCAGCTGGATCCAGCGGTCCAGTGCATATTACGAGGATCCAGAGACCTTCGATGGTTATCGATTTGTGAAGCGTGCAGCGGCTGGGGCAACAAACACCAGGCTAGTCGATCTAAGCCCCGATTATCTTGTTTTTGGAATGGGTGTGCATGCCTGGTAAGTCCTTAAGCTCATATCCACCATACTGATATGCTTGTATTCCATCATTTCAATACCAACCCCCTGAGAATCCTCAGCTGACTCGTTCATGCTTATTGCAGTCCCGGCCGGTGGATGGCAAGTGCCCTGATGAAGCTGGTCATTGCCGAGTTATTGATTCGCTTTGACATTCTTTCCGGAGCGGAGGGATCCTCGCAGGGCCCATTGATCGGATCCCTCTCTTTCGAAGAGTTCTATGTGCCCAACTTCGGACTGAAAGTACGTCTCCGCCCGCGGGTATAAGGGCAATGTGGCAGACAGTATGCTCGAGAACTATGGACTCGGGACTATTTTTGTAACACAGATAATTAGCTTCAAGATGAAATTTCATTTAACCTGTACCCCACCAAGTTGAAGTATACCTAGGGCGATGATAAGCGGCCGGTCAAGTGTGGACCGCTACTCCATAGAAATGACTGGGTCTCACTGGGTCCATCGGGAGCTCCCCACATCGACATCATTCCTCAGAAGCTTCTCTAACCCAGACTAAACTCCTTCAACCACCCCCAAGCCCCCCTTGGAAATGCCCTCCTCTCGCCCTCTGATAATTCCTCAAAAGCGGACCCTACTCCCTCCAAGGACAAATAGCAGCTCCCCTCGAACCCGCACATATCAACTCCTCAATCCGAGCGCCGTGGCGGCTGAGACGTGCATGAAAGCGCCCCGCAACCCGGAAACCGAAGACGAGCCTGCGAGCCATCCAGAGAGCGGAGATGACAGATCAAGTAATCTCACGCGCATTGAGTTCGACTTCGCTGCGCCCCCGCAACCATTTCTCGATCCTCCTGCCTGGGAGGCGATGCTGAAGCGGTCACGGACAAAGAGCTCGTCTGGTGAGGAGAACCGTGCCGGGGGCGCGGGAGAGGGAAGGGCGAGTGGGGGCTCTGAGACACCTCAAGACCAAAGGGTTCGAAGGGAAAGGGAGGCGGAATACAACTCTCTCGCGATCCGGGGACGGTCGAGTATATCTGGGCGAGGGAAACGAGGGCGAGGGGTCGGGAGAGGGGGATATTGGGGAGGGCGACAGTGATACGGAGGTTGTACTGCCATACCCTATAACATCATACCAGGAGGAGCTGGAGTTCTCTATCTCTCTTGCAGGGTAGTACTACCATTAATCAATCTACAAAGGCGCATATTTGCATAGAAGAAAACAGGGCTATATTTCATCATGGGCTAGAAATGCATGTTCAGATAACGCGGAATTGCTTATGGTACATCTTCCAAGTAGGCCAAAACATAACAGGCGCAGGGTGGGCATAAGCATAAGTCATCGAGTCGTCAGCGTGCGTCGTAAATAATTCGTAGATCTCGTAGCGGAAAGGCTTGAACCCATGCACGCAAAGTGGGAAGGGGGGGGGGGGGGACAACAGAAACAAAAACAGAGACATAAAACATAAACATCAAACATTCATAACAGAGAAACAGGGGCAAAGCAGATCGATTGACTCCCAGATGCAGGATCATCGTAAAAAAATTCAGTCATGTGGAACATATCCAGGCAAAATGCATGGTTTAACGTGGCGTGGATAGCAAATCAGCGGGCGACTCCATTGGTGGTGCTAGACGCCACATAAACCGGTCCCCCAATGCTCTGCTTAAGGGTCTCGCGGCGAGCAGCTCGTTTCCTCTCATCTCGTCGCAGGCGCAGACGCCGGAGACGGGTTCGCACATTGCGCAACGACATTGATCGAAGACGCAGGCCCCATCGACTAACCTGAGGAAGGACACGGTAGCGGTGCTGATACAGTGGGGACCGAATCATGCCCCGATCGACCAGACTGCCGCGACTAGCGTTATAGTCCAGCACTCGTCTCATCTCGGGGCTGCGGCGTGCCAGCGAAGGTGGTCCGTCGAAGATAATTCGTTGCTGGGGCAGACCGAGTGAGTTGTTGACGACCAAAGAACTGTCAGGGCCGTGGACACTTTGACGAGCGGATCTTCCCTTTTCGGGGGATCCGGGGATATCATCCCAGAATCCACGCGGTCGCCAGAAAGGGTGCAGGTTACTGTCCATCTCTAATCCTGCTGTCCGGTTTTTGGCTGATCGCATGGACAGCGTCCGTGTAATGGCATTGAAGGATTCCGATCGTGGTCTGGCGCCCCAAGGGCGGCGAACCGAGTTCCAGCGACGACCTAGGCGTGCACCGCCATCTCTGTCCTGGCTGACATCTCCAGCTTGCTGGTGGGTGGGAATCGGTGGCAGAGGCTTGGAAACTGGAGGCTTCGGTGGTGGGCGTGGATTCTTCAGTGGGGAGTCGACGAGGGCCGTTGCTAGGTGCGAAGACAGACCGATCAACGGATCATCAGCTGCTCCGGTGGGCATCTCTGGTGTTCGCGGGTAGAATCCGGGGTTGTGGAAAGCCTGGAGCACGCATGTCTCAGGGGCCATTCGAGGCTGGTTAACCAAGAGCAGCGACCGGTTATTGTGCGGAAACAGGCTGACGGCGGTTGCTTCTCGAATTTCGACAGGTCCAGGAGATGAAGACGGAATCGACCATTGCGTATACGGTAACGATGGAGGGCGCAGGGTCGCCATATCGTCAGTCGAGCTAACCATAAGGGCTGGCAGATTGGGTGCAGGCAAAAGGCTCTTGCTTTGGGGCGGGCACGACGGCTGGTGTTGGGAGTCAAGAACATTGTGGCGGGGCGGAGAGACGGGCTGCTTCTCGAGTCGTTTCTGCATCTCCAGGTCCATGGCAATTGTGTGACTGCGCAAGCTATCCGATGTGAGAGATGTGGCCCGCGAATTGTTACGGCTTGTTGGAGCAGAGAGCGACGAGCTACGAGGCGGAATGACAGGGCGACCAACAGGGCGACCTCGAGAGCTAGTGTCTCGGGACCGTGCAGATGCTGAATCCGACATGGTTCGCTTTCGCTGCCGAGGAACGTCTATGGAACCCGATCCCTTCGATGGCACTGGGGCCCGCTGGCTGGATCGCTGAGACGTAGGCTTCGACGAAATGTGACTATTTGGTCCCGACCTCAGGGAAGAACGTCTCTCTGGTACAACGACGACGGGGATTATGTCAACTGAGGCGTGGGGCGCGCTCGTTGTGGTCTTTGAGGAGAAGGAGACGTCTGATGATATACTGCGACGGTCCTGCTCGGATATGCGACCCGCCTTATGGACAAGACGATGCTGTTGCGAATCAGAGTTGGATAGCGTGGACGTGCGTCCTGAAGTTGTCACAGGCGAGCTCGCCGATCTAAGGGAGCCTCTCTTCTCGGTATGCCGCAGTAGTCTCTGCGCTCGTTTAGGAGAGTCGATGATCACGGCCTCAACGGTAGATGTCGAAGAGATACCAGATAACCGGCGGGAGTCTGGCTCTTCCTGGGATGGCCAACCGATTTCTGCCCGGAAACGTTCCATGGAAGGACTTGCTGATAGACTGGAGGGTTCTTTGAGTCTACCGCGAAGGGTCTGTTCGCGCATCAGCGAGGCATTCAGATTCAGCACGTCCAGCGTGTCATTATCCGAGGCCAATTTAGAACTTTGCCGACTTTTAGTTGCGGTGGCTTTCGAGGCTCTGCGCTTGCCAGGAAGTGGAGTCGGTGATCCGTCCGCCGGGTTCGCCCATTCTCCATCGAACGACTCGAATCCTGTCTCATAATCCGTTTCGCTGAGTGGCTGGGAGGCGGATTGAGGAGTGTCTTTGTCTTTGGGCCCGGCAAGTGTTGCCCGCAACATCGTCGTCCCATTTGCGAGGGGCTGCCTTGAGGAAGAGGGAATCCTCCTTCCAGTCTTTTGCGAAACGCTCCGAGATCGAGGGGTTCGCACCGGTGTGTCCATATCGCCATCCGATGAGATATTCTCGCAAGCTGTTTGAAAGGACTCGGCCCGCGAGGAAGAGGATAGGAAATTCCCAAGCTGATTGAGGGTCGGTCTTTTCGTCGAAGTCGTGCGAGGTGGCGTCACATCGGGAGTCGGGGGCTTTGATGGTCGGCGAGGCGTCACCATACCGGTCGAGTGATTCTCTGAGGCGGACTCGTCGGTCTTGCGGGGAGTGCGATCGCGATCGTGGTTGTGGTTGTGATTGTGGTCGCGGTCGTCCATGTTTTGGTCCGGGATTGCACCAGGCGGAGTCAACGGAGGAGCCGGCGCAACTGTAGCATTTTGATCCGGAGAGGCCGGTTGGGCAAGGTCGATAGAATCATGGGAAGCGACGATAGTGCTAATACCCCTCCGCGGGAGGGCCTTGTGGGACCTGAAGAGCGGTCGCCCTGATGAATCCACCGACGGGCCGCTCATCACTTCCAGGCTAGGCATCTCAAAACGTGTGAGGTGAGAGGTGAGAAGATGTGGGATGCGATCAGAATAATGGAAGGTTTATCGCATGTCAATTTCCTTTCTCCTGATTCTTCTTCAGATGAATGGCGCGGCCGTCAACGGTCGCAGGGATCCCATCGCGGGACAATCTGAAGAGGCGTCTCACAGTGAATAGGCAGACGTTATGGGTCAAAGAAGCGTATAAAGAAGACGGGGAGACGAGGCGACAAAGGTGATAGATAAGGATGGCAAAACGATGGATCGCCGGGTGTTTCTGCAAGATGCAAGGGAGTCGATCAAAAGGACAGTGAAGGGCTAGGCGAAGGAGAAGGCAAAGCCTCGAGGTGGGTGAATGTGAGTGGCTGGGGGGGGGTGCACGATTTGAGGTGGAAGGAGGTGGAGAGGGGGGAGTATTCAGTATTCAGTACGGAGTAGATAGTATTGAGTATGAGTATTAGTATTTCTTGTAGGATCACTTGGGAGATGAATGGAGATGAAAGGAGATGAAAGGTGTTTCGTCTCTTTGGCCCCTCTCTCCTGTTGATCTGTAGTCTACAGCAGTCGACAGCAGTCTACAGCAGTCTACAGCAGTCTAGCCTTGTACGTATCTACCTATCTACGTCCACGTCGACATCCACCTCCATGTGGGGGAGTTCCTGGATTCTGGAACTCTCCTGAGGCTACCTCCGATCGGATCGAAATCCAGAATTCGAAAGGAAAGGAATTTAGGAATCAATTTGGGCATGTTTCAGATTGTTGCGCCTCTGCTCCTTACTGCCAACATGTTTGGCTCCTTGACTTGATGCAGGTCTCTTCGCAACGCGCCACGCTCACATTCCACTGCTGTATGGAGTAGAGAACATGCACGTCTCAGGTTTGCTTCAGAGCTATCCACATCCTACAACCAGTACATATCGGCACACGGAGGGGGTAGAGCTAGAGGAGTGAATGGATGGAGTCGAGCCATCCTATCATGATCATGATCATAGGGACCGGGAAATCAGGCTTGGGTTCCGCAGTGACTGGGGGGAGATTATGTATGATGCCATTGATGAAGGTGGGCAATCTGGGGGGTTGTGGCGAGCATGACGCTCCCTCTGAATCACCGAGGAGAGGGGAGACCAGATAGATTGAATATCGGATAGTACTAGTACTAATATACATACATCCTAGGCACAAGTACCGTACTAAGCTGAGTCGAGTTAATATAGGCATTAATCTAATGGAAGCTTCAAGCAGTACTCTGTGCCCTAACCTAACTGTACCAAGTACTACTGTCAGTACTAAAGTGACCGATGACATCGGCGAAGATCCTACCGCGTCATAGGCGTCAACCCGTCAGTCAACCCCTCCAAGTCCAATTCTGACCTCATCCCGGTTTCCCCCTTTTACCATTTACTTCTCTTCCTCTTTCCTCTCCCACACCCTTTTCTCCAAATCCCAAAAAAAGCTGAAGTGTGTGTGTGTGCGCGCAGTGGTGCATTTCTTTTCCTTTCCTTTCTGGTCTTCCTCCTATCCAATCTCCATCTTTTCCCTTCCCACTCTGCCAACTTTTTTGGGGCGGGACCAACAACGTCTTAACGGCTTCTCCCTCCCTTCCCCTCCTCCACCTCCACCACACCTTACAACTCTTACAACTCTTACAACTCTCCCAGCTCTCCTAGCTCTTCCAACTCTCCACCATGAGCACAATACAGAACATCAAAAACTTCATTCGGCATGGGAAACAAGCTCGCTTTGTAACACCTCATTCCGAACCCACCACCGACGTATCTGCCATCCACGCCGAGCAACAGCCACAACCCCAGGGTCAATTCTCCCCCGCCCTGGAGTCCTTTGACACAGGGGATCTCCGTGAGAATACCCACGCTACCGCACAACCTCCTTCAGATTCCCACTCCCGCCGTGATCGCTCCGTCGAAATTGAACGTATCGTCGCCGAAGAGAAGGAATCCCGCTCCAAGATGCCGAAATACCCCGGCCTCGAGCGCTGGATCCTCGTTGAGAAAATGGGCGATGGCGCCTTCAGCAACGTCTATCGTGCCAAGGACTCGACAGGTCAGCGTGACGAAGTCGCCATCAAGGTTGTCCGCAAATTTGAAATGAATAGCAATCAGGTAGGGTGACCCGGCGGTCTTTCTTTTTTTTTTTTCTCCTCCCTCTTTTCCCTGGTGCATCTTCCTTTCCTTGCCTGTCAATTATTTCTGGTCCGGGAGGGAAAGGTGGCAACACATCGCCAATATCTATTCTGTAGTCCGATCATCTTCATCCGAGCGTCAAGAAGGTTCCCAAGGCTGCAGAGGTGCGCAAAACTCTCATCAACGCTTCATGTGGTGTCGCGGCCGGTCCGCTACCTGGCCGCTGCGGATTTGGTGTTCTTTCTTTTTAATCCTTTCCTTCACCTGATATGGTTATGTCGATCATTTACTAACGTCTTATCTCTACCCCACAGCGAGCAAACATCCTCAAGGAAGTCCAGATCATGCGCAATTTGGACCACCCCAACATCGTGAAACTGGTCGACTTTTCCGAATCCCGCCAATATTACTACATCATTCTTGAGCTTTGCCCCGGTGGCGAGCTCTTCCACCAAATCGTGCGATTGACATACTTCAGCGAAAACCTGAGCCGGCACGTGATCTTGCAAGTCGCGAAAGCCATTTTATACCTACACGAGACCTCTGGTGTGGTGCATCGGTTGGTTCATCCTCTTGTTTGCGGGGCTTGAATCATAGCTAACTAGCAGAACAGTGATATCAAGCCCGAGAACCTCCTTTTCTACCCTGTCCCCCACGTCCCCAGCAAAAATCCCAAGCCCCAACAACCGGGTGATGAAGAGAAGGAGGATGAAGGAGAATTCACCGCAGGAGTTGGCTCTGGCGGTATCGGTTTAATCAAGATCGCCGATTTTGGTCTGTCCAAGGTGATCTGGGACAGCCAAACGATGACCCCCTGTGGTACTGTTGGATATACTGCCCCCCGAGATCGTGAAGGATGAACGGTATTCAAAGAGTGTGGACATGTGGGCTATGGGCTGCGTCCTCTACACACTTTTGTGCGGTTTCCCTCCATTCTACGACGAGAGTATCCAGGTCCTCACGGAGAAGGTTGCGAGAGGCCAATACACCTTCCTGTCACCATGGTGGGACGACATTTCCAAGTCGGCCCAGGATCTCATTTCGCACCTATTAACTGTCGACCCCGAGAAACGGTTCACCATCGAAGAGTTCCTTGCCCACCCTTGGATCCGAGAGACCGACGAGGAAACCACCGCGGCCGCTGATGCGCCGCCTCTGGCCACACCCTTGGCCCCGTCAACCAACAAGGCCCGAAATTCGACCCCATCGGCGCCGATCAAGCTCCATACCAACCCACCAGCTCTCGTGCCTCCCTGGATGTTCCCTCTGCTGGCATAGACCGCCGAATGGACTTCCGTTCACCCGGTGCCTTCAATCTGCGTGAAGTGTTCGATGTCGGTTACGCTGTCCACAGACAGGAGGAAGAAACCAAACGCCGCCGACACGTTCGCCAACAGGCCGCCCAAAGCGGCAACTCAGTGGCCGGTTTCCAGTCCGCACTTGGAGCTCTCAATGAAGGTTATGACGACGAACCCGATTACCGCGCCAGACTTGACGCAGCTGCAGACCAACCGCCTCTCAAGGTTGCCAAGCCCAGCAACGGCGGTGAAATGGCCGGCATGGAAGCTAAGCTTCGCTCCACCAATCTCGGTGCCCAGAGCAGTGCCGCGCAGGCGCGACAAGCTCACCGACAGCCGCCTCGCAAGCAAGGGTATGGCCAGCACGATGCGAATGTCGCCGCCGCTGCCAAGAGCAGCATCAGTCAAAGAGCCCAGCAGCCCTTCGAACTCACCTTGAATGGCGCAACGCTGCTAGAAAAGCGCGGTCGCCGCAATCAACCGGTGATCTGATCATGATCTTTTATGTACAACATACGAGTTTATTGTGCTTCAGCAGTCCTTTGGTTCGCTTCAGCCTCTCATTCATATTTGTTTTCTTTTTTCTCTTTTTCTTTCTCTTTTCACGAGCGACGTCGCATGATATTTTCTTCCCTCATCTGCTTTTCCTTCCTACCTCTCATATACGCAGTTCACCTCATGATATTTTCCCATTCCTCTCACATCTCTTCTCCTATCTATCATCTATCTATCTCTCTCATTTCGGAACTGTGCGTTATCGGATCAACTGGCGAAGAAGAGCATACATACTCCAAGGCTTTGTTTGACTGGGAATCTGGGAAATGGGCAACGGTGAACGATGGGTTCGACTGGCGACGGTCGTTTTGCGTTATGCGTTCTTTCCTTTCGTTCGAGTGGTTTATTGGATTCTGGTCGGAGTTCTTCTTGTGCCTCTTGCCTTCTCCTGTCTATTAGGCTTTATCTTCAAGGGGCTTTGTCAGTCTTTATCACATATTTCTGGTTTCCTTGTTTTACCTTGAGGAAACCCCCTTCAATTGCATTTCAACCTGGACCTATAGGCAGTGGAAACGCTTGTCGGATTTGCATACTTAGCTTTGCTCGTCTTGTCTGTTCAAGTTCTTCTCTCTTTGATCATTCGTACTAGTAGTGCTGTCGGGTAGGGCTCGACCTCAATATGTTGCTCTCGGATCCAGTTTCATAGAAGGTTAGAATCATACCTAGTACCTGCCGTTCACCTGAGCAGTCGCGCGGATGATACAAGGGAAGAGGTTTAAGAATGATGATATAGATTCAAATCTGATATACAATTCAAAAGTCACGATGGTATCACACATATATCCACTCAGGAGCCTTGTCGCTCACTCAAGTATACAAGAAAAATCAAAATATTCCAGAATAAAACAAAGAAAAGGACCCGCCTCATTCCATCTCACAGAAGGCACCAGGCTCAGCTGCGGCGAGTTTCGTCACCTTATAGCCATAAATATAAACATAGATTCGAAGGCATAGTGGAACAAGGCATCTGAATCTTTTAGAAGGGAGATCCATTGCTGACACAGCGAAAACGATATTTTGCTTTTACAGAGTCTGTTTGCCACGAGTCTCAATGGGGAGGAAAACCATGGCTATAAATGCAGCCAAAATCAGGGCTCCAGATGCGTAGATGGGCGCATCAGCACTGGAAGTTGAAGCGTAGATGGCGACCAGTGGGGCACATAGGCCAGCGATACGGTTCAAGCAGCTGCAGATACCGGTGCCAGTACCGCGGTTCGGCGCAGGGAAAACCTCGGGCGTGTAGGCGTAGAGAACACCGTACATGATGTTCTGGAAAAAGGCTTCGAGGCAAGTGCAAGCAAGCTGCACGCTAGCGTTGGTAGAGGCTGTAAAGCAGAACAATAACACGCCTGTGATCAGAGAAGCGATAGCCATAGTTCCCTTGCGACCGATGTACTTGACCTCCACGGTGTAGCAAGCCAGAAGGGAGCCAGGAACACCGACGATGGAGGTGATGGCATAGTTGCGGTAGGTGATATAGGCCGAGTTGGTCTGGCCACCGGAGCTGCCCAGGTACTGGGGCAGGAAAGCGTTGAACAGAGGATATCCCATACCGATGGTGGCCCAGCAGAACCAGAGGATGACGGTGGTAATTCCCAGTCGCTTGTTGTTGAACAGGGGTCCGATGCGCTCCATAGAAAACTTGGAAAAGAAGCGCTTGATAATGTCAGCGAAACCAAGCTTCTCTTCCTCCTTTGTCTCGGGGTGTCCACCAATCTCGTTCAGGATCTCAGTAGTCAGCCAAGTCTTAGTCTTGTTCTTGTAGGCGATACCGTGGACGGAAGCGACAGCCTCATCCTGACGGCCGCGGGACAGAAGGAACTTTGGCGACTCGTAGAGATGGAAAAAGAAGAAGCGGGCGATGAACATGCAAAATGTGATAGCACCCAGAGTCAAGACCAGATAACGCCAGCCCATGTTCTGCTCTTTGGTGCAGTTCTCTGCACTCTCGCAGCTGAAAGTAGGAATGAAAGCCCAAGCAAGCAGACTAGAAATTAACTGGCCAATGGGCCACCACACACTCAGCATGGTCAGCATGTTTCCAGAGGCCATAGGCAGGAACTCCAAAAAAAGAGCGCCATCGACAGGCAAGTTACCACCGACACCGAGACCCAAACAAGCGTACAAGGCGGAGACACTAATGAATTGTTAGCCACGAACAAGACTGAAATCAGTCTTTGACAGATAGAACATACCCAATCCAGTTGGGGGCACCACCTGCGGCCAAGCCGAAGGCACCGGCCAGAAACAGAGTGGTGTTGAAGGCGACGCGACGACCAACAATATCAGAAGCAATACCCCAGCTTGAGGCGCCGATGCAGAGACCCAGGAAAAGAGCACAGGTGGTGAAGCGGACCTCAGATTCTGAGATCCCAAATTCATAAGAGATAGGGGTCAGAGTAAGGGCAACACCCTAGTCAAGTTAGTTTTGATGCATGCAACACAGCCGAATTTGGTATTATTTTGTCTTCTTACCTGGAGCCAGAGGCTAGTAAAATATGTTAGCCAATTATTCAATGAAAAATAGACTCGGAGTTTAGAACAAAAAGCACTTACTTGTCTGCAAGCCAACCAAAGCCGCAAAGAAAGAACAATTGCCACTGGTAACGGCCCATGCCAATATCCATGAGGGCACTGTTGATAACCTTCGCCTTACCTAGATGATCAAAGCAGTTAGATTTTGAAAAAAGCAAAACACTCAATCACCATATCATAGTAACGGGCGCTTCTGGGACTGTAACCACGGATAGGAGTTAGACATACGATCATATACGGAGTCATGTGCCGATGCGGCAATGTCAGACTCAACCTCCGCACGTAAAGACTCGATGGTCCGATGAGAAGGTTCATTTACAGAACCGCCAGAGGAGCCATTCTCGGACGAAGAAGCCCGCTCCAGGGACTTGTTTGCTTCCTCGGCCTGCTTCTCATCGTCGGTCAGTGCTGGCTTCGGACGAGCTGGAGCATCAGCCAGCGGGATGACAACGCCCGGGAAGTTCTGTCTATCCTTCTTGAAGGGGTTAAATTTCTCAATGCCCATTATGACGATTTACGGACAAGTCGCTTTGGAAATGGGACAGTTGGCGCTACTGCGAGGATTGAGGTGAAGGTTTCGTGAGTCGTTGGTTTAGGGCAAGGCTACAGCTGGCGCAATCGAGAGGGAAAGACTGTCGGAAGGTCTCATCAATGGTGGGCAAGTTCGCACGGGGAGTTTTTTGGGAGATCTCGGTCGAGATAGGCTGGACGTAATCGCTGGAGGCTGCGCACGGGGGTTTGCTAGTATTTGAGTCGAGGCGTGAACTGAGTTGGATGGTATGGTATAGTCGAAGGAGCGAGAGAATTCTGTTTTTTTTGTCTTTTTCTCGGAAAGTTGAAATATAAAGAGGAGTAGGTAAGGTAGGATGCTTCCCAGGGAGGAAAAACGAGGGAAGCTGAAGATAGCTCTACCTCGAACCCAGAGGGAGAGTGGAGTTGAGTGGTTGAAAGGGTGGGGAGGAGAGGGGAAGTTGGAAGGTTGAAGAGAAGAAGAAGAAAAAGAGAGAAAAGGAAGCCGATGGGAGAGGTCTAATATAGAAAATAGAAACCACGGAAACCCAGTATCGCGCTTTCCCTTCCTTTTTTTCCCACCTTTTTTTCCCCCGGAGCAGAGAAGTAACGATGGTATTAAATTACGGGATGTCCGGTTGTTTCCATTTCCAAATTGCGACAAGGCCGGGGGGACCCTCTCTCAGCTAGCACCAAAAGGGGATTAGCGCGAAAGACAAGTGCATTTCGGGTTTGCCCATCCCGTCTGGGGTTGACTGGTATTGGTATTACAGGATTACAGGACTGGGGTACAGATACTACTAGTAGTGTAGTAGTATGGTTGATCTCGGAGCCTCGAAAATGTTCATGGGCAAATTTAAATTTAAAGAAATCAAAAAAAAGAGTTGTGATGTAAAGGATATCATCAAGAGAGAAAAGTACTAGAGGGAAAGAAACAAGGCTCGGCGCCCCCCTGAACACGACGAGCTGCCGAACACGGCATAGCGCAGCCACACCCTGGCAGGCGATCACTCAGAGGCGTCATCTTCAACGCTTGACTGGCTACTCGTCTCGGGCCGCTCTGGGAGGCCGGTCCGCTCTATGCGGTCCGTGAAGTTTCCCATTCGACTTCCCTATTCCCTATCAAAGGATCGAGATAGGCAGTACGGTGGTGGATGGAAACTTCCCAGGGCTAGAATGTCGCGCGGGCATACTCCGTGGCACAGCCTCAAGAATATCCGATAATGGGAGTGAGAGCCAATTGGAACCGTATCAAAATGGTCGTTTAGCCATAGAAACCGCATACAATAACCTCCACGTGTTCGGGACGACGTCATCGCCCTTCTCTGCCGATGAATTCTGCTCATCCAATCGCCATTTCTGGTTTTCTCTCTGTCCATCGTCTGCAAAATGACTGACTCCATTACACACCGATACTTGTACTGTCTCAACGTGCCGATGTCGATCCCCCGCAACTTCAAGAAAGGATGTCCTAATGTCCTATAGGGAAGATATGATTTCACAACGAGCACGACCTTCTCAACGAAACCTGGTGGCGCTTCGTCTTGGCCGCATTCGGGACTGACCCCTCCGGAGCCATGGGTACAAAATCGATCTGGAGAGGCGAAAGACTTTTGATGAACGACCCTCCTAATAACAGGATACGGGCAATATGACTGGCCAGTTCTGCCTTCGCGTAGCTCACTGCACGAATCAGAGTGTCCGCCCTGGCGACCAGTGCTTTTTCCATCGGCCGATGGTAATTTACTCCAGGTATCCCCCTTGTAACGTGGGCGCCGCCACCCGACACTGCTTGTCGCGACGCCCCCGATCCTACACTTGTGTGAGACGTGGGTCGGTGGTCCTGGCTTCTTTTTCTTTCCTTTTTTTCATTACGACGTGGAGACTGGGGG